GAAAGGGGACTCAATTGATTACATTTACATGCAAATTCCGTATAACGTGGGCGCAACGTAGTATGGACGTCGTTTCAATATATTCTTAGAGCTTTTATTAGAATTCCATCGTCTCTTGCGATAGAATGTTTTTAAAGTTTTAATATTAAAAAACTAGCTTCATACTTGTGTAAGCTAATATGTATTTTTATGACAGGAGAGCATACAAGACTCCACTAGATGCCCTCTTGACCTTTGATTGCTTTGATTTTTCTTAATGATAGAGTAGGACAGACATACCCTAGCCTATACCATCTAAACAAAATGCGCTGTCGGCCTATTTTGGCTTTGGATATTCGGAATTCAACATATGTGAAACCTAAACGTGATTAACTTCACGGCTTTTTCATCTATGGGCGGTGGTTCGTGACCCTTATTGATATCCAGATTTCTAGACAAGGTCCAATACGTTTCAAAATGATTATTAATTGAAATATTTGAAACTTATTGGACCCGATGAGAATCGAACCCACGACCCGTTGATTATTACCATACATTGCTACCAGCGATCCCGTGAAAGGTGAACCTTAAGTTTTCATCTTATTTATCTGTGCATGGTGGTATTTTCACGCGCGGATTTTTCATTTTACTACTATTTCTGCCATTTGGTAGAAGTTTAAGATAATATGTTGGCCCCGGTAAAAAGGAAGCCGTTAATAATCTACTAATATATAAAGCTGAAGAGTTTGTTTGTTTGTATGCGCTAATTGTAGGAACTTCAGGTTCGAATAAAATAATATATTTTTGTGTTGGTTTAAGCGTTTATCGAAGACGATTAGTGAGTGAGTTTTCGATGCGTAGGTACGCTGCGAAAACAGTTCAAAATATCCAAAAAATATGTATGAGGGAATGATTTCTCATTAAATGATCGACACAATATATCTATCATTTAACATTAACTTGAACGACAGGACGTGTCCGACGTCGTGGGTGATACAAATTTATAAAGATGAAAAGTAGGTTCGCAAAAGCAAATTTGGATGCGCAAAATTACTATTCCTAGCGGACGAAATCGCTAACACAGCTAGTTTGTAGTAGTTACAATGGTAGCAATTACCATTAGACAAATGAGTATGCTTACAATAATTCAGCTTCTATGGTTTTGTAACAAACAGTCGCTATGGTTTTGCATTCGGCGTTCGATAACCTTTTGAGTTGAAGTAAAAGTTCGTATTCACCACAAACAGATCCAACAAAATACTTGGTAATTGTATTAGGGGGGCGTTAAGCCCGCAATTTGGCGTGTTGTTGATAATTAGGGAAACAACTTCTCAAAGAGTAAGACAGGTTTTTAATTAACTTATTCGAAAGTAAGGCTGCGACGTATAAAGTTGGCTGAATACCAACATGTTATAATACTTTCGTCAATGCAGTGCTGCTTAAAGTCTATACTATTTGCTCTGTGATTAATAGGATCGAAGAAACAGTGGGAAATGTGGAAAACCCGGGAAAATTATTCATCGTTGTTAGTTTCCGTTGCGTACGCGTGCGAAAACGGTTCAAGATACAAAAAAAATATGTACAAAAGAATGATTCCTCCTAAAATTATCTAAAAATATGCCAAAAACCTTATAAAGTATTGCTGAAAGAAATGTGATGCCCAAAAGAACTATTTTATATGCGGAGTCGCAGACACAGCTAGTATAGTATATATATATATATATAGAAGTGAAGGGTTTGGGGTTTGTAAAAGGGTTTGGAGAGTAAGAAAATCTGAATATTAAATGAGTGAGAGAATCCGAATTCCATCCAGATCACGAATCGCCAGATATAAATGCCGTGGGGGTACATCTGCGTTTCCACTTAAGTACGAAGTGCGCCATTCCACCTTCATGCTGGTGCATTCTTTAAGTTACATCCACGTTTTCTCAGAACACGTCGCATTTATTTTAGAGAAGAAGTTGGTATTCACTTTACTAACACTTTAACGTTTTAAAACGCGATATATATTAGTTAAAATTATGTTAGTTGAAACGTCGGGCCGAAGTTAAAAATAATTTTCAAATATGTTAAACTAATATATATCGCTTTCTAACCATTAAAGTGTTTTATTTAAGCGCGAAATATATTGCTTAACTTATATAGAATTTATTCTAACTTAAATACACAAGTAACGAGAGAAAATCCCTTTATTTTTGTTTATATTTTAATCCAGCATTAAAGTTTGTATTTTAATCATAAGATGTAAAAGCCTAAAAGGTTTAAACACATAAAAAATTTAAACAAATAAAGCAGCCAACACTGCAGTAAAACTGTGAACCGTTTATTGTTTTCAGAAGTTTTTTTTAAATCAATTATAAATTCTTTGTTGTAACTTCCAAGTGCATATAATTCCACTTCCTTTATATGGTTTCATTGGAAAGTTAGCGCAGCTTCCAATTCTGGTTAATTAGGATAAATTGAGGAAACTCAACTTTAACAAGCCTCAAAGTGGGACCACATAACTTTAACAATGCAATTAATAAATGTGTGAGAGGTGATCACAATCAACTCTGTTATCTGTCTATTCTTAAATAATGTTTTACTTATTATTGAACACGACAAAGACTAAAAGTAAGGCTTTTCTTAATTAACTTAAGAAGATTTAATTAAACAATAATTGAGTTCCTAGAGAAATAGATAAGTTATATATAATATTATATATAATATTTAAAGCTTCAGTGAAAGACATTTGCTGACTTTGATAACGTTCAAATTTATTTACGCGATTTATTAAGGAAAGTATATCGATATCATTATAGTATAATAAATTTTATAATGATATCATGATTATTGTAGTAAATGCTGGAAAATTTTCTGTAATTATACGATAGCTCAAATAATTTTTCAATAACGAGGCATATAATTTTCTAAAGCCAGCATTTTCTTTTTTTACAACCGAAAAAAAAGAATGATTATTAACAGGTTTCATTCTTTCTTTGTATTAGCTTGGATTCAGCCATATTTAGTTTCTATATAGCTTATATTGTCTATGCCCTATGGTGTATGCGCTATAGATAAAATTCGACAATACATTGGATAAGATCTATATATACAAATATACAAAAACGAGGATCGAAAAGCGTGGGATTCACTTCATAGAAGATGAAATATCCCGTCCATATAGCAAAATCTATTTGCGCTGTCTATCTATATTTGGACATTCGGAAATGCCCTGAACCAGAAACGCCGAGTACTTTACAGTTTTTTGATTTATGTCATTTTCAAAACGTATTTCTACAACTCATTTAATATGCGTAATAATAAGACAATGGTTACGTAATTGAGAAAAAAAAAATATTTTGAATACATGGTGGGAATGGAACCCATTTTTTTTAAAGAGGATTACAGACAGCATGCGATTCGCTTGATGGTAGGCTAACCTCGGCCATATACCATCTAAACGAAATCCACTGTCGAACTAGTTTGGCCTTATATATTCGAAAATTCACAGCTTTTTATCTGTGGAGGGTGGTTTGTAATCTGGACGGAATTTCGATATACCCACCACCCATGTAATATTCAGATTTCAAACTCCGTCAAAATAGCTCGTTAAATATAGAAGTAATTGAATGTTAATATGTATAAACATTAATAGATTTAGGGTCACAGAGCTACAAGCTAATACTGGGCGAGTTTCACGCTAGGCGCTCGAACGAAGAACGCTTTCCGATGCTAATGTAATTACACTTGGACAAGTTTCATACTCGACCAGACTTAATCCAATTTTTCCTATTACTTACTTTAATTATAATAGTTATGGCACAGACTAATTACAATTTTAACTAAGTTTTGTATTAAAGAACGAACTTAGGTAAAAACAAACATTTATTAAAAGAAACGTTGACATTATCGCTTTTGGACGTAAACGACGTGATAAATTTGCTTCGATATAACGTTATACTATTAAAAAATACCGTTTAAATGTGTTTGACTTGTGATTCACGATATTTCGTTACGTTAAACAAAATTAAAAATCATTTATTCATAGCAGGTGGCATTGTAGGTAGCTTAGCACACTTACGAACGTCAAAACAGTTAAAAATTCAAAACTCTAATTCACATTCCCAAATTAAGGGCGTACGAGTAAAATGAACGAGAAGAACTGGCAAGAAACTCGCCGCCACTCCTTTATTGTCAAGTTTTTGTTACAATCTTTACGCACTTAATGTGGCCATCTTCTTCATTGTTAGAGCGGGTTCCTCCATACCCAATATAAATTGTTATCATTTAAATATTGATTTACATTATAATAATACTTGACTTGCTGACTGATATTAGGTCTTTAGAGTCCGTATACAAATCTTGCCTCGCACGCAGTAGAATTTATTTGCTTGAAATAATCGTACACAAGCGACTGGAGGTATTATATCAGGCTATACCGCCAGCCTTAGTTCTTTCCGGTACATTGTAAACCACCACTTATAACCGCATATTTATTAAAACACAACATAATTACTCCTTGAAGTACTCCTACGGCTTTTTTCAAGCTGATTCATAGTCCATGTACTGATAGCATTTTCAAGCGAACGCTGTAAGTCTCTTGTTTAGTTACCTTGAACGTTTTACTTTGTAAACAGCTTAGAGAATTACACTTAGTTTCTTATCAGTTCAAATAAAATGTCGTGTGCTTTACATAAGAGTAGTATTTGTGACTTTAAAATTAAATAAATACATTTAATAACTATTGGTTTAAAATTTGAAATACTGTCTCTACTACTAATTATGTAGTGTAAAGAGGAAGTCTTACACTTACTTAAATCCAAATTGATTTAAAAACAAACTGTTAAAACAGTTTATTTTAAATTTAGTCCAGGTAGAACAGTAATTTTCACATGGCAAAGTAGTACGCCACCTGTAGTAGATTCGAGTCCCACCTTTGTTATAATAAGCCTCGTACACTTAGAGACATGACTATATTTCTCGTGCCATACAAAATATATATGTATGTCTGTAATAGCATATCAGCAGCGATTACCGAATCAAAGGAAAGCCTTGAATGGGTGCAAGAGCAGCGTTTTCCGCCGATAAAGACCAATGCATTGTCGATTTATCGCAGCCAGTGCTGGCGCAGAAGTGTCGTCATTAACGCGCTCCACGATCGACTGAATATTTTACATGTAAATTTTTCAGATCGTATATTAAAACATTTTATACCCAATTGATTGGTGGCAAATTTCATTTCACTCGTTTCTTTATCTCAAATAACAGCCACTTTGTAACCTATAATTAACCAGCGTTAATTATAGGTTACAAAGGAGGCTGGGGAATTTTCCTCTTCCATGACTCTTATGGTATGATATGGTATGGTACACAACACAAAGTAAAGTCAGTTTACTAGTCAGAGTTTAAGACATTTGATAATTTAATTAAAACACATGTTGCCATTATATAAAAAACATGTTGCCATTATATAAAAAACATGTTGCCATTATATAAAAAACATGTTGCCGTTATATAATCGATTTTATATTAAATTTTTAATTGGCATAGTGATACCGTTAACACTTCAGGCCGTGACTGAGCTTTATGGACAAAGAACAATGTCTTTCTATTACTTCTACGATTATAAAAGATAGATGTGCACATCAGCTCTTTAAGAATTAAAATGTATTATCAATACCTAATCTAATATAGTAGAGTTTAAAATCAGCCATGTATATTGTCTATAGTTTACACGAATAGTACACATTTAAATAAAACACTTTGCCGGTTTAAAATGTGATTTATATTACTCTCCGTGACCACGGCTGTTGCAAAGTATCCGAAAAGGCCGTAGTTTAAATAATTTTCAAATAAGTTTTAGTTATATTAATGTTTAAGTTTTTTTTTACAAAAAGGTTTTGTCTGATCCAAGCCCATTTAGGGTTTTCGGGATCTCTTTCACTCTATAATAACCATGCCAACTTACCGTACACGTTTGAACAAAAATTAAATCGAACGTTAATCGGATGTCGCGGTGAACATTTTTAATCAAATATTTAATTTGTAATTACGTATTGCGTCAATCACAACCCCAGTAATTACGAATGTCGCTAACATTTCATTTTTATTTCTGGTAATATCATTAATTCGGCTGCTTTAATTTACGATATTAATTATTCAGAGATTGCATTATTCGTCGCTTAATATTAAAGCCGAAGAGCGCGTTGTTAATGTGGTAATTATTACGTCCCACATTCAATCTTGATGCTTGGATTCAACTCTACAAATATTCATTGTATTGTGTTTTTAATAGTGACTTAAGGTTTTAATGGGTCAAGTATTACATAAATAAAATACATTGTTGTACACGCGAGTAGTACACATTTAAATAAAACACTTTAACGGTTTAAAACGCTACGGTTTTAAGTCTCCCCGCCACCACGGAATCTGCAAAGCATCCGAAACGTCGCGTTGAGCCGTGGTTAAAATATTGTTGAAATAATTTTAACTCATATATACCGCGTTTTAAACCTTTGAAGTGTTTTATTTCAAAGTTACTTTAGTTAACTTGATTTATTCTAATAACGACGAAACATTTCGTTAAATAAAATAAGTTAATTCATATTTTTCGCATTGTAATATAGTTCCCTGGCCCGCTGAATAACTCTGTTTCGTCTTTCACGTTTTATTTAGCTTTTTATATGATTTTTTATATTTGAAATATGAGTTATACAACTTAAACAACAAACTTGAATCTGTTTCAGACGTCGTATTTTACAGTCCGGTGGTGTGTTAGTGGTTCTAGATGACTGTAACCTCTAAAGAGGGAGTAGTGTGATTTTCCACACAGTAGTCTGACGTGAGCGAGAACTATGCGTTTACATCATCAGTAAAAAAACGCCTATATGCCTAATTTTACACGAGCTCATTAGTTATATTATTGATTGTATAAAAAATTGCTTTTAACGTATTTGTTTATTTAAAAGCACTTAAAAATCTTACGTTTAACAAGGCAGAGTTGAGTGTAGTTCTCAATTCACATCCTTAAGTGCTATTGGCAAGGAGGGTTCTGGTATTGTTCTAGGCTATTGAATTTATTGATTTCCGTTCTATCCGGCTAAACAAATGTCAGATAGAACTGCGTCAGACAGAATCGGCTAAGCGAGACTCGTTGAACAATTTAAAGCCATTCTTTTGTCCATTATAGTCACTACATTAAGTTTAGACAAAGTGCTTCTTTACTAAATAGTACAATTTCATCGTACAATAAAAAAGAAAACAAATATTGCAGGTTTCGACACTTTAGAGTAATTTCTTCTAAACAACCTTATTTAATGCGTGTAGTAGTGATTCTTAGTTAAGTGCGAGCTTATCATTAAAAATTACTAAGCTAAATGAAAAACTGGCAAGGAACAAGACGTATTCACCAACAGGGCTTTTTACAAATAAAAATAAAGTAGCAAAAAACTCAATTCATTGTATGTGAGTTCCTTCACATTTATGTTACCTTCAATTTTTTGATGAATTCAGCGGAACCAGAAATATGTCTGGAGAAAATAAAAACAAAAAAAAATACTATCTTACTGATTACTATAATACATCTTACTAATTATTAGGACACTAGAAACGTTATCATAATTTTATTATCTATACATTTCTGGTTTTTCATAAACCTATACACATGCAAGATTGACTATGAAGTCAGTCAGTTAGAGGTAAAAAAAATTGTTGAAACTTGGTTTTTAGGCTAAATGATAGTTAATAATGTAGAATTCACCTGTTTAGCAAGCTTACATTATGTAGGGAGGGACTGTAAGCGCGAAGTCACCATCAATCTTTTATAATTACGTAGTCTGTGACAGCAGCACTAATTACGATTTGTTCGGTTACTAGTATTAGGAATATGTAATATTGCATAATTATTACATACTTTTCACAATTTATCGATAAAAAAAGAATTCTCACGCTGCGTAAAATACACTGATTGATACAGAGATGTAGGTAATCAGATTCTGTGCTCTGTTTGTATGAAATTAACATTTTTCAGAGGATTAGGAACCCATGACTTCTAGCTCATAACTAGTTTCTATGCCAACCAATAAGCCACGAAGGAGATAAATAGAGGATTTTAAAATTACATTACCTAGAAATATAATCGGTATATCTTCTCAGTCGTGCACTCAGCTTAGAGTGGTCGTGGTCTGTGATGATGATGTCGTAGTTCGTGGGGTGTCCTCGGTGTTCGAGCATGCTTTAAGGACTATCCTCCTCCATCTTTGACGGTCTTTTGCATCGCGGCTACACTGTTCAAGTGAAGATCCGGTGGTTGTGCTGATAAGATCGGCCCAGCGGGTAGGAGAACGACCACGTGAACGCTTTCCTTCAACTCTTCCTTGTATGACTAGTCTCTCCAGGGAATCCTCATTTCTAGAAATATGACCAAAGAACTTCAGAATGCGTGTCATTACGATCGAAGACAGTCTTTGCTGTATCTGGAGTTCCCGGAGAATAGAGTTATTGGTTCGAAACGCAGTCCATGGTATTTTCAGAAGTCTTCTCCAGCACCACATTTCTATAGCATCAACCTTACGACGATCCTTCGCTCTGAGTGACCATGTTTCCGCGCCATATAGGAAAATTGGGAAGACTAAGCTGCGCATTAGGCGAACCTTAGTCTTTTTCGTTATACGACTGTCTTTCCATACTTTGCCCAAGCGCTCAACTGCTGATCTAGTTATGGTGCATCGTCTCTTAACTTCGTCTTCACATCCACCGACGTTCGAGATAGTAGATCCAAGGTATACGTAGCTTTGAACCACTTGACAGTTAGCGATGTTGTCAATTGCAGAGTATTGCCCTGCTCGGTCTACTATCATTACTTTTGTTTTGTCCCTATTAATAGTAAGTCCGAATTGTAGACTGATTTTCTCAAGACGAATCAACAGATGCTCTAGGTCTTCCTTTGTCTGCGCAAGAAGCGTAGTATCATCAGCATACCTTAAGTTATTTATCAGTCGACCCCCTATTGTGACTCCTTTCTTCCAATTCTCCAAGACGATACGCATGAGGTATTCTGTGTAGATGTTAAAGAGTAAGGGCGATAGTATGCAACCCTGGCGGACACCTGACTGGGTTGTAAACTCATCGGAGTGGAAGTTGTCCATACGCACCGTGGCTGTGCTGTCATCATATAAGGCTTTTATGAGAGATACTAGGTGTTTAGGTACTCCCATTTCTACCATGATTTCCCAAAGACGGTCCCAAATAACAGTGTCAAACGCCTTGCGGAAATCAACAAAGCATATGAAGACAGCGGTATTAAATTCTCTGGATTTTTCGATGACTTGGCGTATTATGAGAATTTGTTCTCTTGTGCCTTTTCCCTTCATAAATCCTGCTTGTTCTGGTGCAATTTGCGGATTGAGGTACGCCTGTAATCTAGTATTGAGTATATGTAGTAACACTTTACTGGCATGCGATATTAAGGAAATGAGTCTGTAGTTGTTGCATTTTCTCGTTGAGCCTTTTTTGTGCAGCGGTATGAAAATCGAGTGCCGCCAATCCTTTGGCCACATCCCTGTTTCCCATACCGAGCGACATATGACGTACAAAAGGTCCACACCAGTCTCTCCCATACTTTTAAATACCTCAATTGGGATTTCATCCACTCCAACAGACTTATTGTTTTTCAAGTGACGTATAGCCGCTCGTACTTCATCCCGCAGTATGTCCGGTTCGCGAGCTTGAGAGCATTCAATAGTGACAGTGTTAATTGTTGGCATTCTGTTCCTCATAAAGAGCTTTATGCAGTATTCTTTCCAGACATTCATTATATCCTGTATTTCAGTCACCGTTGTACCGATTGCATTCTCGATCGCCCATGTCTTGGGTTTGAATTGACGTGTTATTTGACGCACCTTCTCGTGCAGATCTCTTGTTTGTAGATTGTCCGCGTGCTGTTCCAGTTCTTCACATATAGTTGATAAGTATAAGTTGCGGTCTCTTCGACATGCGTTTTGTATGGCTGTGCTTTTCTCTCTTATAATATCATCCTTAGCACCGCTGGCTTTTATGGCTCTACGATCCTCTATTAATTTCCAGGTTTTTGGTGTCATCCAGTGCTGTCTTTTGGCCATACGAACTATCGGTTGTGATTCCGAAACTGCTTCGAGAACATATTTCTTTGCAGAGATCCACATAGCATTGGGGTCCTTGTTTCCAGATTCAGAACGCCAATTTTCATGCCTGCCTTTAATAGACGATGCAAGTGCTGTCCGATCGATTATGTACATTCGATTGGGGGTGCGCTTTACAAGAGGTTTATGAAGTTTAAGCCTCAGGTTGCCGATCAGTAGATTATGGTCCGACTCACAATCTGCGCCAGGTAATGTGTGTGTATTAGTAATTGAACTTCTCCACCTTGACCTTATCAGAATGTAGTCAATCTGGTTGCGACATCTATCACCCGGTGATGTCCATGTATAGAGGCGTCTGGGGTGTTGCTTGAATGTTGTATTCATAATAGTCAGACTGTTGTCAGCAGCAAACTCTATAAGGCGTTCTCCCCTTTCATTTCGTACTCCAAGACCATATCTGCCAACTATGTTGCGGATGCCATCATCTAAGTATGTTGCGCCCACCTTGGCATTAAAATCGCCTAGGATAAGTAGTAGTTCTCGGCTTGGTATGCGTGCCATGCAGGATTCAAGTTCTTTGTAGAACTGTTCGATTATATCGTCACTGGCTTGCCCGGTTGGAGCATATATCTGAATTACATGAAGAGGGGTCGGAGAAGCACTAAGTTTTATGGATATTATTCTGTCGCTGATAGGATTGTATCCCAGTACTGCACCCTTCCATTGCTTAGCTATAGCGATAGCCACTCCGGAGAAACTGTTTTTTTCATTTCCTGAAAAGTAGATGGTATATCTTTCTGAGTTAAAGTGGCCGCTGTTTCTCCAGTGAGTTTCGCTTATTCCAGCTATTGCTAAATTGCATCTTTCGAGTTCTCGTTCTAAGATGGGTAGTTTTCTGTCCTCTAGGAGACCTCGAACATTCCAAGTGCCGAAGCGATGATGTCTTCGTAATTGGAGTTTTCTTCCAGATGCATATTGTCCATGGGGTCCCTGGTCGCCTGAACCTCCATGGCCGGTAACCCATTTCACACCCGTAACCCCGGAACGTTCCGGGCGCCGGTCGCTACGCGGTTTGCCTGGCGGTGGCATACTGGTTGGACTTTGATTGATCATCATCTTGACTCTCGTGGGATAATTAGTGTAGTAGTTTCCCGTTGCTTACTACACCGCGGTACCACAACTTCAGTAGCTGTGATAGTCCTTGGGTGAACCGAATTGGAGAGTGTTTCCTAACGCTTCACTTAGGTACTGATGGTTACCGCTGCCCTCCATCAGGGTCCAGGAACTACGCCCCTGTGGCTTGCCTCCTCCGCTGGTCCGACCGTACTGACAGTTACTGTCTTCGCTCGCCACCGTTGAGGTCTTCACCCGTGACCCTGGGCAAGGGATCTATGTTATACCCCATAGAGGTGGGTCCCTATTCGAACTTGCCATTTACATCCCCCGGCCTACTGGAGGAAGCAAATGTCCAGCCCCGCGACGTGGACGCGCCGAACAGGTATTACCCCAGTGAAAAATAGAGAAGGGAAACTCTATTCTTCCAGGGGCCGGGTTAACGGTCTTGTATTAGCCGAGACCGAGGCCAATCGGTATATAGTAAACATTAAAAAAAATGCAAAACTTATTTCACGAATAAAACAACACAAACAAACAAAACAAGAAATTCAACTACAGTTTTTCAGCTTTGTTTAGAAACTTTCAATTAAATTGAAAAAGTCCAGACGTCTGAAAGGCAAATGGAAAATGAGGGAAAACTTTAAAATGCGATTCCGGACACCTTAAACGCAACGAAGTTAGCCTTAGTCAATAAAACGTAGTGTGGCGTTCGGCCAAGACAATGCCCTGGCTAAATAAAAGTTATTGGATCGACACAGTTGCGTTCTTGAGCGATGTTGGGTGCCTCGACCCAATTAGCTAACTTACTATTCAACCAGCCACTGGTTATGTACTCACATCAGTATATATTGTGTTATCCTTTGTGTTATCATTAAAGATAAGACTTATGTATTCTTAGTTATATCCTAAACTACAGACGTTCACATATATGTAGTAGTTTTTCTTAAATATGATGGACTTCGTCTGGAAATTAACATATTCGATTGCGTCCGGGTCACACAACCACCGTCCACAGATAAAAAAGCCACGAAGTTTGATCGCGTCTTGGTTTTAGTCTGTAGCTCTCCCAAAGTGAAAATAGGTTGGCGATTGGCATATCATTGTCTTTCGGGCTGTTCGGCCGATGTGAACGAGAAGAGATTCTCGACGTTTCGCCATCACGTGTGGACGGCACATCAGGAGATGTTAACTCCTCGATGCTCGAAAATTAAGATTGATTAAGTGAGGGCAAACGAGAACCTCTTCTCGCTCACGTCGTCCGAACGGCCCGAAAGACAATGATATGCTGAACGATGGCCGTGAAAGCCTTACCCAATTAAATAGGTTAGCGATTCTTGGTCCGATGTTGTGTGGCTAGGATATTGAATCTACCGTCGAGTGAACCCCTGTCTGTCTTTCTCAGAAAAAACGCCATATGACGCGTCATTTAATTCTATCAAGTATATATTTGTGTGTTATTACTTTTGAAGAGAGAGAATTTTTGATTTGGGCCTGAGGAAGCACGTAAAGCGTTTGTCAACTAGAGTTTCTGTTCGTCCGAAGATTGAGGAAACCAACCGTTCCACTGCGATTCATCAAAGGATAGAGGCACACATCAAAATCAATATCACAATTTTTATAATTGAATTTTCATCGCCTCTTTGTTAACAAACTCCAAGTGCCGTAATCAAAGATGCGAAGTCTGAGCGTGCTGGAAGCGTTCAAAATGGAAACAATTTTCACATTTTCAAAGAAGCTGAGACGTTTTCTCGTTTTTGTTAAGAAATACTGTTTACTCGTTACATTTCTACTCACTACTGGATACACGACGCCCCTTGAAAGTTTATCTGTAGGTGAGGCTCAGGGCTATTGAGAAGTACTCTTTTCTTTGTTGCAAGTAGGTGGATGTACGGTCTGCTGGTTAATGGTTTCTAGTTCTACGGACGAGTGCCAAGCTTTGTATCAACTTTATTCAGTAATTTATTTAGACTGGTACCTTACTCGGTAAATAGATACTTATGTGAGAAACATAATAATTTATTAATTAAGGGCAAAAATCAATTATTTATATTTAAAAAATATAAATTAAACGAAAAAATCCACACCTTATTTGCAAAAAATAGATCTATATAATAACGATGGCGTGTGGGATACTATAACGCAATTGGTGAGAGCAACAACACATCATGTGTGGATGTCGGTTCAAGTGCTGCACGTGTCGTAAAATTACTTAACCTAAAATGGTTTTTTTTATATTATTTATTAAAAAATTACCCATTATCTATAAATAAAAATTTTAAAAGTGACGAAAACTAGCTGCAGCATTGTATAAATAGGAGTTACATACACTACTATATTAGCCGCTACATTTTTTTATTAATTTTACTTGAATATTAAATACAAAGGTATTTTTTACAAAGGGTAGGATACGTCTGTCTATTTCTTCATGTTCCTCATAACTGCAAAAGCTTTGTAGGACCAATTAATTAACTGAAAAAAAAGCATCGGTGATATATTGCGGAGCAGTATAGCAACTCAGCACTAATTTTCCACAAAATGTCCTTAAGTTAAAATATATTTTTAACGGTTTCAATCATAATTAACATTCACGACGTTTGTTCGAATTATAACTTTATTTGGAAACTACGAAATTTTCAGTCACTTTGCACTTTCGAACTGAAAACTGCAATTCCCATTTTCCGTCACATTTTTAATTGAATGCCAAACCGAGAGCTTAAATTGAAAAGTTTTCTTACATTTGTGTAAGTGTCTAGCGAGAGAGTGAATATTTTTCCAGCCGTAACTCGTAGAGGACGCTTGCATCGTTCCATAAAAACTATGATTAACATTGTAGTCTTCGGGTCTAGTTTCATCCAAGGTCCGTCGTATGCTGCCATACTTAATTCCAAGCTCTATAAATATACAATTTATTTATTTAGACTTGACGAGCTTCTTTTGTCGGGCTTGTTGGTGTAATGGTTGTACGGCTAATCAATGGGTCGTGGATTCTATCCCACCGGGTCCAATATTTTTAAAATCAATTTATAATTTTTCTGAAACATGTTGGACTTCGTCTGCATATTAAATTGGGTGGAAATCGAAATCCGTCCGGGTCACGAACTACCGCCAATAGCCGTGAAGTTTAATCACGTTTCGGCTTCAGTCTGTAGATTCCCGAATATCCATAGCCAACATAGGTCGATAGCACGTCCTCGTTTAGTTCCTACAGGCTGGGGTACACCTACCCTCAAGTGCTATTGTATCATTGTTCATCAAGTTGTCCTATTGTATCATTAAAATAATTGTTTAATACATATCTACTAACTGCTTAATGTTTATTATACAGACATAATCTTGTCTTTAGTGCGATATCTCATATAATTATTTATAAATAAATAAATTTATCTTTTATTTAAGACTTGTATCTACTCATTTATATTTAATTTTACTGCTCCAGCTTTTTAACTCGAGAGAAATTGCGACGTACGAATATATATCATTACATGATTTCGTAGTGAAATATTCACATTATGTAAGGTACAATATATTACGGTAACATCTGACAGTAAATGTTTCAAATGGATAAAACGTGTTACCTTCAGAATGAGCTCATTTCCAAACCAGCACAGAATGAACACCTCTATCAGCATACATGCGAGGTAAATTGCCATCCAAACGATTTGTATTGGGTGACTTCTAGGATTTTCGATCTGCGAGGAAAATTTATAAAACAAATTGGTTGTTTGTATTGGCCGGTGTTTTTGTCTTGAGAACCGCGAGTATTTTAAAAAAATCATTAAATTTTCCGTTTTTTAAATGTTCCTTAATTGTTGTAAATATTGTCTTGGGTAATAGTATATACAAGATATATAGCTATATGCATTAAGTTATGTTACACTGAAAAAGTCAAACTTCTGCTGACTAACTACAAATTATCCTTGTAAATTATTAATGCGTTTATGATCTCATTAGGTTCAATTACAATGACAGCAGCGATCTAGTCAAATGTGTAAATACAATCTAAGGAAATAGAATTATTATCACCCTCGGTGTGAAAAGCCAAGGTACCAAGTAGTGACGTCAATGTGTTGACGATCTACTTCTACTAGATCGCAAGTACTAGACCTTGTTAAATAGACCATGAACCGACCTAGCCAAACCCATTTAGTTGTGCTGAAAACAGGTCAAGTAGACTACGGCTGACTCAGAAAAAGTGTCACAGGCTTTGAATGGAATCGACGAATTAATATTGAAATTATGCAAATAAGAGTTGTAAAGGTGGATTGATTTACTTTTGCTTAATGAACACATTGAATGAGATATTCATACTAAATTAATACAAAAAATAACAATTTACAGAGTTAGAAGAGATAGCTGCAGATTACAAATAGAGATAAGACAGGAGCCGGAGAGATAGGTGTTTGTGTGTCTGTTTTATGTTTGAATGTTGCATATATACAATTTTTGTAACTGAAAACACCAAAGGAATAGTTTTCATAAATAACAACCTAAGAACTAGCTTATAAATAAAAGCAGTTTTATCGTTAAATAGCTCTTCCAGGTAACCTGATGTTAAGGGAGAAATACTTTTACCGATAAAAATCTTATTCCAACCAAACAAAGCACCATGACACTCAGCATAAATTGAAGAGCTGAAGCCAAACTGAATGCGCTTTCTATCATAGAGACGTATCTGAAAAATAATAAATTATCGTCATAATATAGAAATATATTAGAAATCATCGATGTAGAGAATTGGTATCCACCTAACACACTTACATTACTTACATTTCTATCAACATACATCCATCCATAACATTCCACTCACTTAATACATACACTAACAGACACAACATACAGATATCTACTCAAATAGACACTATTTGTAAGTAGACATACGTTAGCTTAAAAATTATTTATTTGTACTAGTCACCTACGTCACAGGCTTGCCTTGTGGGGACTAGGGATTCTGCACCATGTTTATGGAAACAATAAAGAATTTTTGAATAAAAAATTTTTAACGGTTAACAACTATATATGTTAGTTAAACTTATTTGAAAATGGTTTTTAACTTCAGCCCGACGTTTCGGATGCTTTGCAGCAGCCATGGTCACGGGGAGACTGCATCTATACTATATATCGCGTTTTAAACCGTTAAACTGTTTTATTAAAACGTGTACTACTCGTAAAGTACAGACAGTATTTAAAGTTATTAATTTTATTGATTTGACAACCCCACGACTGAAATACTATGTCGTGGTTTTACCAAACTACCCACATTCTTTGGTTTTAGTTTTGGGATGCACCAGAATTAGTCTTATCTTCACTTGATCGGAGATGCTTACTTTATAATTGCGTTGTAATGTAGAATGCATTTCTTTAACACCAAGCGGATATAGTGCTGTCGGTGTTCGCCGCAAAATTGTCGTTGAGCTATAGCTCTTTTACGTCTCCTCATTGCTATCTCCTCGAAGTTACGTAGATTGAATGCCAAAATTTTTATCTGTCCGACTGTAAAAAGTTATCTCATGAGACGGGAATAAACCGCAACATTGTGGAACTCGAGATATTTACACTGGATATAAGAAAACTGCTCAAGAATGTGAATATTACATATTGTTTAAATTTTCTCTCTGTGTTTTCAGTTACTGTACAATAACTAGTGTTCCCAGAGAAACCAAAACATTGGGATTTAATGAATTGTATTTTGTATAAGATAATATGACATAATACTCTTAAGATTAGTAGTAAGTGAGTATTGTCTGTCGTTTACGCGAGTAATTCACTTTTAACGGCCTAAAACGCGGCATGTATAAGAAAACTTATTTATTTACAATTTATTTAAATTACCGCCCGGACGTTTCAGATGCTTTGCGACGGAGGATTCTCAAGAGGGTACGCGGTCGTTAAAATGAATTGTAATAAATAAGTTAAATGATATATTCCGCGTTTTAAACTGTTTAAATTAATGTATTTAAAAGTTCTAAAAAGTTCAGAGTTTCAGCCTCTTTTTCTAACTCTTTATTTGACCAACGGTTAAATAAAGAGTTAGAAAAAGAGTATTTTATAAAGCGTGTATTACTCGCTTTAACTATAGACAAACTTAAGATTATTTTGAACTGTCTATCTAATTATATAACGGATATACTTAAGCCTTTCAGAATTAAAGGTACTAAAAAATATATGTTATGTTTTTTGTACGCCTTTAATAATCAATCTAAAAGATATATTATACAAAAAACTATAAATGATCACTCAATTACATTAACACAAACTACACGTTTGGATTTATATTAAAAATTCTCCTAATTCCACGGCTACAAAAGCTAAGGAGGCAAAGGAAATTCAGTGAGAATTAACTTAAGCTAATGTCGTAACGCTCTCCACTGAATTAGGTATCTACATAATATAATAACGTCGCAGCTTTTAGTCTAGGATGTAAACTTCAATGGCTTAATACGTTTCCTTAATGATCCAATGCTGTACAGATTTAAACACTAATCCTGGATTGAGTTGAGAATGTTATCTATACTAATATATTATAAAGCTGAGGAGTTTGTTTGCGCTAGTTTTAGCAACCACTAGTTCGAATTGAAAAATGGTTTTTGTTTTTCTTAGAGCATTTATCGAGAAAGGCCTTAGGCTATAAAACATTGTATTGTAACTAATAGGAGTTTACATTACAATACATTGGAGAATGAGGACGAAACGGGAAATTTTTTTTAAAGGTTTCTGTTGCGTGTGCTGTGAATACGGTTCAAGGAACTAAAACAATATTAATGAAAGAATGATTCCTCTTTAAATGATCTGAAACATGTCCGTGTCAGTATATCTTTGAAGTTTAACTTCAATACACTTTACGGGACGCGTATGACGGGATACGAACGTCGCGGGTAACAGTAAAGTGATTCATAAAGATGAGGAGGTAGTTCGCAAAAACAAATTTTGTGTCCAAAATAACTATTCTATGTGAACGAAATCGCTGGCACAGTTAGTTCACATATATATTTTACGTACTTGCACATACAACAAATGCTGCTAGAAGGGTATCCATTACTCCATCTATGATACACGTTGCTGGCTTATAATATACCTAAAATATAAGAAAACGACTATTTAAGAAAATTTAAAAAATAACAAAGGACAATCGTCTGCCACATTGGTTAGTACACTCGACTGGTTATCACCATAAAAAAGCAACGGGGTTGAATTCCTGTACATTAAACTTTTCTAAAATATTTTAATTCTGTAGTTTAGAAAATGTAATCGCCCCTATGCTTTGCAGATCGCGTTATGGCGGCGTGCAGTTACCACTAGTAAAATAGGGATAGTCGTAAAAGAGCCGACCGATCCATGTTGGAGCAGCATGGTGGGTCTAAGTTCGTAACGTTCATTCCTATGAGAAAGAGCTCGGTGTCCGGCCATGGAATGTTTAAGTTAAAAATAGTTCTGCTCATTTTTATACAATTTATAAAAGAAAATTTACTTACATGATGAAGATATAAAATAGGATATGTTGGAGCTTTGTCCACGTCAATATAGGTATACTCAACGTTTGTTGGTAGAATTTCAAAGTTTTCTGCAAGGGGCATTATCATCGCCACTGGAAAGATCAAAGCGGGTCAAGAGCGTGTCATGCTATCAAAGAAAACTATTATATGAATATTATAAAAATATATTATATGTTTAAATAAAACACTTCAACGTTTTAAAACGCGTTATATTAGTTAACTTATGTATATATCGCGTTTTAAACCGTTGAAGTGTTTTATTTAAATGTGTACTACTCGCGCAAATTATAGACAGTATTTTATATGTGACATTAAATTATTCGGAACGATGGTTATTTAAAAATACCTTTGCAATAGTTATCTTGACATGAGGTTTAATGATAGTGTATTTGCAGTAAATTATAAAATCAATAATAATAGTTAGCATAACGAAAACCTTAAGTATTATTAGATTTTTATATACGGCATACAAGGACAAACAAGGGGCTTATTTAATAACAAAATATAAAACAAATACAAATCCTGGAAGCTACTAATTAGAACCAAAACGTGTACTTGCATTCGGTTTTAAGAATGGTTCATGAACCGAACGGAATTTAGATATTTCTACCACGACTTAATGTCCAGAATTTCCAGATTACCACAGTAGGAATCGACTAACACCTATACAGTAGACAATTCTGCAAATCACGTTAAAAAAAGATGTAAGTAGACAATATAGAAAATACACGGTGGTATCAAACGACACCATAAATCACCTGAAACAGCTCCGACGCACATCGTAGAGTATGACGTCATGACAAAACGGGACGTCTTAATGCTATCTCGCAAGATTTCCCTGTGCTCCAGCTCGTCTGGCTCGAATTCCTTGCAGTGCAAATATTTAAGGAGACTTAATATTTTTCGCTTATTCAACCAAAATACCGCCACTTTGAAATAGGTGTACATTTCGCTCAGGAATAAATATAATCTAAAATTTGTAGAATTTATATTGTTGATTGGTAAATATTGACTGACTCTTCGCGTTGCATAAAATATCGTGCATTTAGAAGTAGCTGTACAGTGCCAAAATAGAGTTGAGCAGTCATTTTAAATGAGGTTTTAAATAACATAGATATAACGAGGTAATATTTTGAACAACAGTTACAATTTAAACTTGTTTCCATGGCTCCATTTTTTTCTTGACTAAAAGTATATTTTTTTAAAACTTTAACGGTTCAAAACGCGACATATATTGTGTGTGAAATCCCGTTTATTCTCGTGGGACATGGGGCGAACACATTTCTTTCACTGATCGATTTTATTTACAGGCAAGTAGTTGATCAGACTTCTGTGTCCTGCCCGACCGAAACAATCTATTGTTTCCCCGGCATTCGAACCCAGGACCTCTCGCGCTTTACACACTGTCAGGCAACACGTTTAACCAATTAGCTACAGAGGCGGTCTTATACTAGTTAAACTTTTAAAAATATTTTTACTACGGCCCGACTTTCGAATGCTTTGCAGAAGTCGTAAAGAAGTTTTCAAATAAATTTAACTAATATATATCGCGTTTTAAACCGTTAAAGTGTTTTGGTTAAATGTGTACTACTCGCGTAAAGCCTTATCAGTACTGAATTTTGTTAGTTTCGATTAACAATATTCAAAACCTCAAGTTGATTTGTTGAATAGTTATGACGTCAAGGAAGGACAAACAAACACATTAAGGCGTTTATAATAGTAGTATAGATTACCCTTCAGCAATTTCACCAACATTGTCCTTTCGTCTCAGTAAATACTCAATTTCCCCCACCGCGGGCAACAAACAGACAAGCCACAGCACAATCATGGTGTAAATGATCTGCGACCAAAAGTAGAGACACCTCGGCGAATGCCTATTATACCACATGCCATAAAACTTAAGCCAGTAAATATGCACCGCATGGTAAAGTTTCGGATTTAGATCGTCCCACGATTCCACCACGCCGTACGGCAGATATGGCTTTAAGATAGACAATTTTCCTCGGGAAAGTTGCGGAAGGATTTTCATTATTCTCACAAACGATGTCGATGCAGTATTAGAGAGATTCGAAAATGCGGAAAGCCTTTTATGTTGTCGTATTTATGCTGCGGGCCACGTTAAACACGTATTACGCTCGTTTATTATTCCGAAGATATTATTGTTAAGAGCCGGGACTCTAAACATGCTATGTACAATTTTATGTTTAACATTCAATTGGAAACGAAACGTGATGCACAACATTGTGTCGTCTCGGTGCCAATGTAATAAATATATTACTTGCTTGCTTTCTTTCATAAGATGTACGAGTATACTGTCTGTAGTGTACGCGAGTAGTACACATTCAAATAAAACACTTTAACGGTTTAAAATGCGATATATATTAGGTAAACTAGTTAGTTAGTTTACCTAATATATATCGCATTTTAAACCGTTAAAGTGATTGAAGTCTCCCCGTGACCACGGCTGCTGCAAAACATCCGAAACGTCGGGCCGAAGTTAAAAATCATTTTCAAATCAGTTTAACTAATATATATATATCGCGTTTTAAACCGTTAAAGTGTTTTATTTATTATAACTACCCTAAAGCAGGCAGACTCGTCCCTCGTTAGCAGTGGTAATTTTTTTTATTTAAAATTCTATGACCTAGATCTTATCTTTTTCTATTATAGTATTTTTCCGCCCGTCCGTATATTAAACAAGGATTTTGAAAGTACACCCCCTTAAACAGGTAATTTGATATTATTTTGAAGGCAATTATTATAATTACCTTAGCAGTGTAATTAGTCGCTACAAGAAAACGTAGCGCTCTCTTAAATGCGGCTAATTGTGTTTTCAAAGTGCCACGCTGATATTAATAATTTTCAAGTAAACACAAAGAGATTATTTCTCGAAATGAAAAATTGTGTATATTACTTATTGCTAATCTGAAATGTGATGGGAGTTTTAAGACAAATCTCGACGTTTACGCGTGGTTGAGGGTGGGTTCTTTAAACGTGCCAGTTACCGTTTAATTCATACGCTAAATAAAATTTAGATTTATTTTATGACTTGTTTATTTTGATAAGATAAATAGTGACCGCAGCCTCAATTAGACTAACTGTCTTTATATTTAAAATGGCATTCTATAAGACGACGCTAATACATTTTAATCTATTACTCTACCTTTTTGTTCATAGGAAAGAGAATTTAAGCACTCAATAAGTTCTAGTACAGTTAGTGGGCTTAACCTACACCACAACATCATGATGACCATAACATCAAATGTAGTAAGTAGTAATTTTAGAAGCACGAAAATGTTATCACCTTACAACTTCCGGGTTAGACTAAACGTTTCTTAGAAAAAATTAAAATGCTGAACATTTCGTCTTCGACTTCGTGATCAGCAATCGAGTGAGCCCCGCTTATTTAAAAGAAACATTCATTTTTAATCATTTACCACCTGTTAAGTGTAGTTAAAGTAACCGGCCTTTAATCTGTCTAAATGTCATGTTTCTATTACATCGGACAAAAGGAAATAATTCGTCAAATGAGTAGCGATCTCCTGAGTGCGGACACAGACTGATAGCGGGCACACCAAAATACATTATGCAAAAAAGTGATAAAATATGAAACGCTTTATGTGTTTCGCGTAGGGAGCGAGGAATCTGCATAATCACCATTCACGCGGCCCGAAGTGAAATGAAATACGTGATTCGTAAAGAAAGGAGTACAAGTAAGTAAATAACTGTTCGGGAGGTTTGTTAAGTATAACGCTTTTGTTTTGTAGAAAGTAAAGTATTTTTTTATTGTTTTCGTACACAAAAACCAATATACAAAAAAAATACATATTTTTAAATCGTTGTGACGGTTTTTTGAGACGCAATGATGGGAATTGGTAGCAATACTTTGCACCGTAGCGTCCAATAGCTCCTAATGTTAAGTTTAAATATGATGATTAGTAGAGAGTAAATGGATTGATTTAAAAATCGGAAATAAATTGAAAAAAATATTCGACTCGGGCAGGACTTGAAGGGCATCGTCAGCGTTCCGTGTTGGTGCTCTACCGAGTGAAATTTTTTTTCAATTTATTTTCGATTTCTAAATTAATATAGTGCCTCTCATGTGCAATAATGTGTAAAAAATAATACAATTTTCAAAGTAAATGGATTAGCTTTAAGCCTATTCAACGTGTCGTTGTTTTATTTAAATCGCTGTATAACTTAAATATCTAACACCGATCCATATTATGGTGCAGTGTCTCACTTAATATGTTAACTTTTGCTTTAGCCCGAAATTTGAAGGACTTATATTAATTTCGTAAAATTCCCCACCCTTTCGCGAGTATAACAGGAACGATTTATTCAAGTGGCGATATTTTACGAGCGACCGTCTCATATTTTACGTTCATTATTCAAACGAAGCAAAGCAGCCGTTTTACAATCTTATACAATCTAGATTTCGTTTATTATAATTGCAGATCGCTGGAACAACGGGAGCGGTGCTAAGTGTTTGGGAGCGTTTAAGATATTTGTATCGCTTACAATTCTTCTGTGAACATCCGACGTTGGCTGAGACAAATGGTTCGCTTCCACGATACCGCGCCATTAATTAGAAACAACACGTGCTGCCCCCTAGCGATGGCTATCTGTCAGCGAACACGCAAATGCTTGTTCCGCAGATCAAATAAATTCAAAGCGATCAAACACCCTACGATTGTTCTAAAGAAGAACACTTTAACAGAAAAAAGCCATTCATCAAAAACTATTATAATAAGATATATTTGTTTTATAGTATTTATTATAAGGTAAATATAAGTAAATTTCTTAAAATGTCAATCTTATATATGCTTTAAAGATTATAACAAATGAGATAGAATAGCGTCTAGTGCCGTTAATTTTTTTTTCAAATCTGAAATATTAAAATAAAACACTTTAACAGTTTAAAATGTGATATATGTATTAGTTACTTATTTGAAAATTGTTTTAAAAACGACCCAACGTTTCGGATGCTTTGCCGCTTTAAACTGTTGACGTTTTAAACCGTTAAAGTGTTTTACTTAAATGTGTACTACTCACGGAAACTTCAGACAGTATCTAAAATATTGTAATATATTTATTATTAAAAATTTACAATTAAAAGAGAATTATTATACTACTATGATACTGTTTATACAAACTTTTTTTAATAAACCGACAAGCAAAAGAAGTTGCTATTTGTATTTTTTTGAAGCTTCTTATTTTTTTTGGAGAAATTATGGACTAACACAAAACGCAATTCAGCTCTTTCAAAGTACATAGTTATATTTTACAGTTCTATTGCATAAACTACGGATACAAGTTAATATTTAACTTACTAGATATTTAATAAAGTTTCTTATAAGGTGTCACAAACAATAAAGAGTAAAGAAATCTCTGCAAGCTATGGAATTTCAATAAATGTCTAATATTGAGAATACCAGCCGCACTACCGCACTCTTTTCATAGGATCATTTACATAGAAATGAAAGCTATCGACATTCTTACAATTCACGCTTTTGTAAACTTACATTTGATTGAGAAGAATTATGAAAAAATATTCTTATTTGAATTGTTACTGTTTCTAGTTCCAGTTACCAGATTCTTTAACTGAGTCATGGTGTAATGTTTCATTGTTAAATAATCTCATTTTAGATAATTCTACAATGAATAAATAAAAAAATAGATTACATTTTATTCTAACAGACTCCACGTGGTCGAACCACGGTCACCACACAGCTTCCGTACAAACTTAACTTAGTATCGGTAAAGCTTGGCATAGAAATATGTTTTTTTTTTAGGAGAGAGTACGACAAACTAGCATCGGATTCACTTGATGGTAGGTGAAATACCTTAGTCTTCTGAGCAGCTAAAAAATATATTTTGGCTGTGGATATTCGGAAATCCATAGACTGCAACCGAAACTTCACGGCTTTTTCATCTGTGGACAGTAGTTCGTGAACTGAACGAAATTTCTATATCCCTACCACCTATTTTATATTCAGAATACAGACGTCCAGCATATTTCCGAAAAATTATAAGTTGAAACATAATTTAAAAATCGAAAATAAATTGAAAAAGTTTTCGACCCGGGCAGGACTCCAGGACTCGAGCGAGTTACTCGGTACACAATTCGTAGAGCAACAGCACAGAACGCTGACGATGCCGGTTCAAGTCCTGCCCGACTCGAATTTTTTAACAATTTATTTTCGATTTTTAATTTATATAGTGCCTTCATGTGCAATAACTTGTAAAAAGTAATAAAGTTTACAAAAATCAGAAACATGTTCGACTCGCCGGAGATCGAATCCACGACCCCTGGATTATTAGCCATACATTTCAAACATTAGACCAACCTAGATTGGAATCTACCAATCCGACCAATTTGCCTGTAAAAATGTATCAGTGCAACAGACGCAGATATAACATGGCTGCTTTACGCCACTACATAGAGGGAAAAGGATTTCACAAATGTCACACAATAATCAACTTGACGTGAACATTAATGATACTATGTAAAATAGCATACTTTTACGAAGTGATTATGCAAGAGAGATCCGTGCACGAAATGTGAATTTTCTTTTAGGTTGGCAAACGTCATGTATGGTGTTAGTGGTTATAATTATGATGTAGGGGAAGCGTTGCGAGGGAACGCCTTCCCGCCATTAGAGCTAGCCGACGAGCGTCACTGGCTAATTACACAAGATTGATGGAAGTTTTGCACTCACATTTCTCTTGATACGCTTTTTGCGCCACTTCAGGCGTTTAATTTAGCTCACTATAGAAGTATTTTCAATTAATACCGCTCACACGTTATAAAATAGCGTCAAAGTACGTGAATATCGTACTGTATGCGTCTTTATACATCTTTTTTATTTTTGTATCTTCGATTAGAAATTTAGAATATTAGAAAAAAATCTTGAGTGCTCCTATGTTAATTTTACATAATGTCAAGTTAATTGTATACGTTAACATATTACATATAATCATTATCACAATAATATAATCTAAGCAAACAATTTGATCAGAGAAGTC